GGACACAGCAACACTATAGGATGTCCTAAAGTAATGGTTCTCAACTTCCCTAATGTTGTGACCCTTTAATACAGTTCCTCATTTTGTGGTGACCCCCAACTATAAAATTATATTTGTTGCTAATTCATAACTGTAATTTTGCTACTGTTATGTATAAATGTAAATAGCTGCATTTTCCACAGGTCTTAGGCGACCCCGGTAAAGGGTCTTTCGAACCTCCCAAGGATTGTGACCCACTTGTTGAGAAATCATGTGCTACATAGACTTAAAGATCTGAGTTCTGCTGGGGAGGAGGGTGACCACGCCCTTCTCCACCTGGTTCACTACCCTCCCTGCTCCCACCCAGCAGTGCTCATCCAGGACAGAGGCTCTGGTGTGATGGCGGCCTCACACTACATGTTCACACAGTGCCCTTCCTGAGGTGCCTGTGGGAGCTGGAAATGGAGCCCCTGTGGTTGGTGGCACGACTGCAGTCTCCCCTCCTCCCCACTGTGAGGACCTCAGGTACAAAGGACCCAGCCCAGTGCCCAGCACTTTCCCATCTCACTGTGCAAGCTGCTCATCTCCTCTGTGGTCTGAGCAGCAATTGCTGCTGGGTGCCTTTTCAGGCATCAGGTCCAGCTGAGGCTATGCAAGACACAGAAAGCCAAGTTTCAGTATCTGACCCCAGACACTCACAGGGATGCTTGGAAATACTGGCTATTCTGCAAAATGGGCAAATGAGTTGCACACGAAGGCCCTACATTGCAGAAGCCTCTCCAATGCACAGCAGTTCAACTATTTGGACACCAGTGCACAAGTAATAACAGTCGGTCTGAGCAAACATGTCTTAGAACTCCAGTAACAGAAAAGGAAAGCCTGATCCAGCCCCTCCCACAGATTATTCCAGAGAAGTAGGTCTAGGAGCTAAGACACTCAACAGTGCCACTGTCCCAGCCTTCCTTCCAGGCTTTGCCCTTTCTCCTGGGTTTGTTCTAGCAAGCGTCAGGGCTAAAACTGCAGGACATCATCTGCAGTTAAACACAAGCTCCGAATATTTCAGCCAGATGTAGCAGCACACACACACACACACACACACACACACACACACACACACACACCCTGGAAACAACTACTGTGGGGAGACTTGGGCTCCATGTGACAGGAGACTGGGCTCCTGGGAGGGCTCAGGTGATCAGAATCCTCCTGGCTCCTGGCCCTTTGCCTCCAAGAACACAAACAGCTCCTCTCTGGTCCATAGAGAAACTTCCATGCCCTGGAATTGTGGGAATTGTCTGGGTAGAGCTGGATTAAAACAGTTCCCTGTTGCTCCAGTGTGGTTTAAATCACAAACACAGGCACCTCTGCTGACACCTCTGCTCCACTTCTGAACCAAAACTGACACTTGTTTCCCATTACTTGGGCAGCACCTGATCCCAGCACTCAAGACCAGAGCAGGACGATCATGATATTAACGGGTGTTTGGTACATTAGAAATTGTTCAACTTAGTAGAAATAGAAGGTGATTGGATGTGCTTTGCACAATCTTAGGTTGAAACATGTAATACAATTAAAAAATTTTTTCAGTTGAGGAGCTGATAAATTACCCAAGTCCTGGAGCTAAAAGAAACAGCTGATTCAATGTTTCTTACAGGACCATTCATTGACCTGGGCACACCTGGGTAGTTTTTAGTTTATTATCACCCTGAAAACACAGACCTTATTTAATTTTGTGACATATCTGTGTATTTAAAAATGCTCTCAGGAAAATTAAAGAGCACATAATATACAGAGTAGCATGAAGCCATACAACACTGAGTACTGGGGCAGTGTTATAGTTCAAGTTCACTCTACTATGCAGTCAGAGGTGCTTAGTAAAGGGGACCTTTCTGCTTCCTCCAACCCATGCCTGCTGTAGAAACAATAATGGGGAAAGTTCACTTTAAACAAAGTAAAAGTCCCCCAGATGTCAGGCAGTGATGGCCCACACCTTTAATCCCAGCACTTAGGAGAGAGATCTCTGAGTTCTAGTCCAGACTGCTATACAGAGCAAGTTCTGGGACAGCCAGGGCTGCACAGAGAAATCCTGTCTAGGGAACAGAAAAAGTCCCCCCAGAATTATTATGCACCTTCTTCTCTGGGAAGTGAACTTGTAAATCTGAAAACACATGAAACTGAAACCTGCATAGAAAGAACTTGAGTTTGATTGTGGTCAGGAAATGAGCAGCTAATGAAAGGCACAGCTGCAGGAACTCTGGGGTCACATTGGGATGGCCAGGTGTAGATAAGATCCCACTTCTGTGTGGAGTCTTCACAAGGAAATCTCACAGGAAGAAAGTCAATAGAAATTTCAAGGAGCTGAGTGTTGGGAGAAATAGGACGATGATGGTGAACTGAAAATTCAGATCCAAGAGAAGTTCTGGAGACCAGTGTGCACCGTGGTGACAACAGTCAATAGTATTACAGCGTGACAGGAATTTGTTTAGGAAGACCTTAAGTGTTCTTTCTGCACAAACACAAATAAATGGCCACTGCCTTCAGTAATGCATATGTTGGCTAACATGTAATGATTTCCTAGTATATACGTACATCAGATCAGCACATCGATATCTCAAGCATACAGAAGTTTATTTGTCAATTATACATCAACAAAGCCAAAGAGGAAAGACAAACAGCAGATGGGGGCAGAACCACAGCATCCAGTCAGTGAGTAAAGCCTTAGCAACAGACAGAGCTTAGCAGAGAGACACATGTGCATTCTGTGTGTGCACAAAAGGTTCTCTAGCATAGTGGCTGGCAGGGAGAAAATGCTTCTTTTATGAATGAGCAAATAAATGAATGAGGACAAACGTGAGCCAATGTTCTCATAAATGGAAGAATCTCTGACCCAGATGTCTAAAATTCTGCAGACATGGAGAATTTACTATAGTCTGGGTGCAATTTCAAATGCCTTTAATCCAAGCATGCTGAAAGGAAAGGGAGGAGGATCTTTGTGAGTAGGAGACTAGCCTGGACTACATAGTGAGTTCTAGGACAGCCAAAACCACACAGTGAGACCCTGATCCCAAGAGAGAGAGAGAGACAGACAGAGACAGAGACAGCGGGAGACAGAGAGAGAGAAAGAGAGAGAGACAGAGACAGAGAAATTACTAAGACCCTGTTTTACTGATACAATTCCAAACACCAATGTTTGATCCCTAAGAGGACCAAATGGGGACCTCTAGCTACCTCCATGATTGGATTCCACTCCAACCAGGTCACATGTCCATAGAGAATGTTTAATTCATAAATATAGCTGCATCATCTCACTAACTGACCTATAATAACCATCATAAGAGACGTCACTCCAGCCCCATCCTTTAACATTTGGGTGATAATTTAGCACAACACAAAATCCCTTCTTGCCATTGGGTTCTTCTGAGTGCCAGAGTCTGAAAGAGGAAAAGATGAGGGCAATTCTCACAAAATTACTTTGAAAAGAGATAGAGGCAGTAGGAGTCAGAAAGCGAGGAGTGAACTTTGTGGAAATCAAGGTCATGTGTGCCCAAGTTATCCCTCCTCCACTACACATGCATTTTCTCCTCCGCTTGAATCTCTGGCTTTCCCTTGAAAACTGAGCCCACAGCACCGTATGGTATTATGTAGAATGCAGGCAAGTATCCCAAAGGCTCACCTCTATTTGATCATTCCTACACCCTTTCTAAGGCTTTCTTATCTGATAAAAATATTTCCTGTCAGTACTATGGGCCGAAAGTTTTATCCTTTTCTAAATAACATATTTATTTATTCTTTGAAAACTCATTACAACATCTTTTGATCATAGTCTTTCCTGTCCCCATCTTCTTCTGAATCTTCCCCAAACTCCCTACCCACCCACTTCGAGTTTATTTTCTCTCATTAAAAGAACAAAAATCATGGAGTCCATTTGTGTTTGTCGACTACTCCTGAGCATGGGGCTTGCCCTGGAGTGTGGTTGATGTATCTAGTGATACTCCACTAGGGAAAGCTGGTTTCCTTCTTCCAGAAGCTATCAACTGGGAAGAGCATCTCCTCCGTTATGGGTAGGATTCTGTGCCCATGTCCCATCCTCCATGCTGGGATTTGGTCTGACTTGAGATTGTGCAGGTCTAATGTATGTTGTCACAGTCTCTGTGAGCTCGGGTGTGCATCTGCCCTTCTTAATGGAAATGATTTAGAACCTGAAGAACTAACTAAAATATACACACCTCTTATTTATTATATCTTGGGCAAGTCATTTAATTTCTGGTATTCTCAGCTCCCTATCTTAAAATTTGGGACTATAGTACCATGGCAATAAGTTGTCATATCACACAATTGTACAAGAGATGAGGAATTTCCTGCTGGGATATACCACAAGAGAATAAGAATCCATGGAATCACTTGGGCCACATACAGAGATGCAACATCTTAAAACAAAAAGATAAAAATTGTAGCATTCGAGACAGGCCTGGCGGCAGCCAACAGGAACATACAGGCCCGGTGGCAACCGGCAGAGACATA